AAACAGCATTTTAACTCTTTATTCTAAAATAGAACTGCAAATTTACATTGCAAAAAGACTTCAGAAAGTCCTCAAACAGGTTGCTCCTTGAACATAATAATTTTTATAAAAAATAATGAAAAATACAAATCAGAAAATTTAACAGGATAATCAGAACTTGTTCTCTACGCTAAACTCACAGGCGCACATACTCAAACGCTCACACACACACACACACACACTCACAAACACACCCCCGTGTTCACTTGTATATGTATGAAATGTATACACTACATCTAAATACAGCTAAAAAATAACCAAGTGGTATGAGATGAATTTAAAATGGCATTAAAAAGTACAACACACACAAATATATTTGTCAACAATAACCAATAAGGGACAAAGCACAATATATATAGATGACAACAGATTGAAAAATGAATGGTACCAAAAAGGCGAGTAAATAAAAACGTCTCTTTAGTCTTGCTAACTGCTTTACTGCTGTTGTTAGCCAGCTAACGCTAGCTTAATCAGCTGGATGACGAGAGTAAACAGGAGTAAACAGCTGCTGGAGGCTCCTTAGGTTCCTTACGTGAAAACGGGGCAACGTGATGCTCCTGTTGACTTTACATATTTTGCCATTGACACACTTTTTTAGTTTATTTAGTGTGAAATGTGCAACATAGTCGATTTTTTTTTATTGATTTCATCGATTTGTTGTTGCAGCCCTGGTAGGTTCTAAAAGTAAGAGATGTTTTGGATTGGAATGTAGTCTTGAGATATTACAGGTTTAAAAAATGCAAATATTGGTTGAAAGATTATGCCTTTTAGAGAATAATATGGAATAGAAGTAATGATACAATCATCATGAATCAATAGACCGTTCACAGAGTCTCTGGCCCCGAGGTCACAGGGTCACTAGACAGTTGATACAATAAATACACAAATACAGCACACAAACCTGCAGTAGAAACCTCTCAGTTTCCTAACAAGAACTCAGGTCCCAAGGTCAGATCACTCAGTCCCCAGGAGAAATACGATAGACATAACACTAAATATTCAGTCCAATATGGTTGATAAAGAAGGCGGTGTGTGTAGTTGTGGGTATTTGTGTGTGTGTGATTTACTTAACAGCACACCAATGGGGAAGACTAACACGGAACAAGTATGCCGGCAGCTTTGTCCTATTAGCACACAGCTTTGACTCTTTGAATCTTAAGTCTGCATTTATCTTAAAAAAACAGGTAGTGATTCCGACAGTACAGCAGCTCTGTGCTCGATTCATCACTGAAGACAATCCCCCCCCCCAAAAAAAAACAACACTTATGTTTGATCTCTTGAGATAATTATTCCTTCATGGATTGTAAATAACTTTCAGCAAGATTCACATAAAGTAAATATTTGGTTATTGGGAGTCAGTTTGAAAAGTTAACCCTTTTAAATCCATCTTAAATTGTACCCTTTATAGTTCTATTTGGATGAAATTTGCCACTACAGCATAATTAGAACTGCAGGGCAAAGACGCATTAATCAGCATCAAATATGTGCATGCACTGATCAAGGTCAGCAAATTCAACACGGAGCCGGACCTTTACAATGTGTTAGAATTGACAAGATTCACAAATGCCTTTGTTGTTGTTTGTTATCTTTTGGCTACATTATTCTGCTCAAACTATAGTAATTTAGACCTTGAGGCAGCCATCACCATCTAATGCTCCCACTCTAACTTTGCCTTCAGCAAGGACCTTAATATAACCTCAGTGTGTTCTAGTGCAAGTTAGCTAGCCGACCTGCTCAAAAATAATGGAATATTATGTTTGTTTATGTTCTTATTTGCATTTCTAATCATCAAATGTACTTTCCAAAATGTTTTTCCCGAGGCTGAATCGGATTTTGCTGGGTTGAACAGAAGTTGAGAGCTCAAGGCATTAACAGTAATGAGAGGCAGACATAGCAATCATGAGGGAAACCTTCCTCTGGATGAATATAACAACTGTTTTTCATATCATTTGCATTGTTGTCGATGGTCAGTTTCACTCCTTTGGTCCGTTGCAAGATCAGAGACGGTGTTTCGAGTGATGCAAATCAGATTCCCACACTTACTAGCCGTGCACCATTTACATATGAATTAATGCTCCAGGTCAGAAACCCCCTGAATCCACTTTAGCCGCTTTTATTTCGATCCTTTAACCTTTGGCCCTTTATGTTTAGTAAATTGCGCTGTAAAATATGTTTAAAAGCTGTGGTGCTGCATCACAATGCATTGCAGTGATTAGCAATGGAATGAACTTATATCCCATAAGAGCTGATTCTGTGCAAGGTTTTCCTGGTGATTTTATTGGATGGAGGAGAACTTGGCAACAATGAAGGGCGTTACTTACTACAGAAAAAGAGCTTATATCTAATAACCTCAAACTATACAGATACTCAAAGTGTTCGTTTTTTGGCTTTTGAGTCTTGATTGTGCACCACGTTTGTCCTTTTCTAGTTTGTATCTTAATTTGTGTATTTCAGATTTTCAAATGATTTATTACAGCCGGTCAATAGCAAAACATGGGGGTGTGGCTTCATTTTGGCCCAGATATTCATTAAGAAACTAAGAGTCACGGAACAATTCGCCCCCTGACTCCAAATTATATTCCATACAATGGACCATTGCAACAAATATCTATTCATTAATTTGCCTTGACTCCCTTTGCTGCACTGCTGAGCTTCTATCAGCAAGGGTTGTGTAATATTATTACATCGGTGGTTTTTACTTATCTTACATTCATTAGCAGTAAAGCCAAACAAACCCAAATTAAACATTGTCAAAGTAGCTGCTTCATACTTTTTGCAAAATAAACAAACTTTAAAAGCGGGTGTTCTTTGGGTCATCGAAATTTATTTGTTAGAGGTTTTGCGAAGAACATTAATTTCCGGGAGAAATGCTGAATATCAAACACGCCGCTATTTGTTCAACCCACATAATAAATGTTTTCTCAGCATTGCTTCAATGTGCTCTGTCCTATAACATGGAATATTGGAATATTGCCCGTCATCACAAAGATGTCGCCAGAGCGACCCGCCGGCTCACTCTGACGCCGCGATCCATCACGACAAAGGACATGAAACTGCCGGTGTGAGACGAACGCATCCATCGCTGAGGAGATAAGCCACTGAACTTTAGGATTGGGCTGCTGGGGAGACGGAGGCAGACAATGACCTTGCACCGCAGCGGCCCATCGGCTGTAATTACCTGTCGAGCAGCAGACACCAGGTTTGACAGAGTGGTCGGACAGCGTAATCCAGGTTTTTGCAGTGTCAATATGTGCCCCGTCAAGAAGAACACACTCTGACCTGCGTGTGCCTTATTTCCCGTACCGCTTACATTTATATTCGATGCCACCAAATTGAACTCCCTTTAGGCACTATTTGATTAGGGTTAAACTGTTTGACTGTGTATGGATTTATTGTTCACCTTGGGTTTGGCGTCCGTCACATTGGTGGTGACTGAGATGCAAACAGGGAAAAACTGCAACAGGTGTGACAGAGGCAGCAGTGTTTACCTGGAGGGGAAACGCCGCGCGGACACGCTTCTGCACAGACGGCGTTGCCGCGCTGCAGAGCGATGGCCTTGAGCTTCAGCCCGCTCATGCAGTCAGTAGCCCGCGCAGACCGCCCAGCTGTGGATAGACTCTATTTCAAAGGTCGCAGGCACAAAAAAAGAGAAAAAACCAAAACTTTTCTCAGTTTTTAAAGTTTTTAAAAGGATGTTTTCATGTGAGACTCATGTGTTGAAATAACAGCCACGCTTGTTATCATTAGTGTTTCCCCATCATTCTCATGTTCCAAAATGTCGGACAGAAGGCGCCCTTGCTAGTGTACAGGACTCATTGAAGGGTAACAATAGAGTCTTGCTCAAAGGTAGTTGCCATCCGCTGCTATCTGAGCCACAATCTTCCGTTCAACTCATTCTCACCAGCGATTGTTAACTCGTAAGATTCTGCTCTTTCATATTTCGGTGAGGACTTCATTAAAGTCTCCCTCACTGTCCGCGCCCATGTTCTATGAGTCACTCTTCCTTTGTGGTGGTCAGTGATGTATATATCTCTCTGCACACACACTGCTCTGCTGTGCTGGAGGAAAACGGCCACCACACAGACGGGGAGGGAAAGAGAGGAAAAAAAAAAACACGAGTGCCTCTGTCTAATGAGTTCCTGGCTTTTCATAAGTCACAGTCTTCCTGGAAGTTATTCTATGAAGGTAAGCCCGTAGTCATGGCATCAGACCATGAACAAAATGTTTATAACCAGAGAACAGAATGCAGCGCTGCTGGAAGAGGCAGAGGAAGGGCGAGATCAGGCCTTAGATAGACGGGTTCAATACGGAGGTACTCACACTGGGGACTCGTGGTGTGTAGTTGTAGACGGGCTCATGTGAAGAAGAGCTGCTCTCATGAGGTTAAAGCAGTGTTACAGTGGGGCTTTTATTTCTCAAACTTAAAATGTTTATTTTTTTCTCTCTGCTTTTCCTTTAAGGAACTGTCAGCTTGTGTCACATATCGCACGTTCAATGTGGCGTTGCTTTACACGCGCCTTTGCGACAAAAAAACTCTCAATATTGAAGAGAACTTATTCAATGCTGAGGGAAGTTTGGGAAATCATAACCTGATTGTGTGGGTTGATTTCATTTCAGAGGAACCGTCTATCTTCACAATCATAACACCGTCTTAAGCTGGCAGAGCACTGCTGTTCAACACAGATGGAAGATGGATGCCGAGTGTTTTCCTACAAATCTAATAGAGGACTCTTGCCTTTTTTGGCACGAGACAGAAGGGAATTCTCTTTGGATCTGCTTTACAGTGAAGTGCACACACACAGTTGTCCAAAACAAGAGCAACGTCCAAAAAATAGGGGCCAGAAGATGGCGAGCCAGAAGAGAGCCGCGGCCTCGATTAATGTGCATGCTGTTCTGCTGGTTTGTTACGTGCTTTTCATTCATCTCCCGTCCCTCCCCCCATGTGTCTCTGCGCTCCGCAGTGCTGGGAGGCGTGGAGTCCCGTGGCGTCCTGAGGAAGATCAGTGACATGCTGGAGGTGATTCTAAAGAGGATGGACAGCCTGTCCAAGCTGGACAACAGCAGCAGCAACACCGCCGACGCCCGGCGCCTGGATGAGCTCAGCTCCGCCATCAACAGGTACGCCGGCTTCCAAGTCAATAGTGCGTCCAACTGGTTTTGATGATCACGAAAATTTGATTTACTCTTATCAGTCTCTGCAGATGTAACCGAGTGAAGTGGGACTTGATCTGGCAATCATTTTAATACATTCCCACCTTAATGCTCTCCTTTAAGGCCCAAGGGATTCATTTTTAGACATGTTTACTTTTCTAAATGCTGTGTTTGTTATGATTATTTTCACACAAAACACAGTAAAGTAAAGTGACTTTCATTCCAGTTAATCAGAGCTCTCACGTTATGGGTAAAGGCATTGTCCTGTTGGGATGGGAGTCAGAATGGGTTGAAATGCTGATAACGGGACAGAACAATGTGAAGTAGGTGTGTTATTATGCTGTTGGGTGGATTTGCACCAGTACTTCATTCTCGTTGAAAACACCAAATCTTTGTTGTAATTAGTTGTGAGAATGAATATGAATGAGAGTTACTGATATGCATAGTGTGGTAGGCATTGTTCCGTCCTCTTACAGAAATGGAGAAGTATAATACAGACACAGATAACGCTTTTATGACCACGAGTTCTTCGCTCAGCTCAGATAAATGCAGAAAGCAGCTGGCGGAGCTTTGTAAGATGTCCTTTACAGCATAAAATACTATAATGCCACCATCATGTTTGAGATATTTCTGATTGTCATTTATACTGCACATCAGCTCTATCTCGACTGGAGACATGTCCTTTTCTTTTTATTCCCCGGCTTATTTTATTTCGCTCTGATCTTAGACTAGAGTGATTTTCCCCCGTCTGTGGAAATTGACGCCTATTACCCTAAAACCGCTGCCGTCTTGTGTGACCTTCCTGCGGTTGCTTTTATCAGACGACGACTCTAATCGCCCCGTTCTGTCCCCAAACATCCAATTTGTCCTGCCTGTTGTAAGTTCCTGCCGTTCTCACCACTCTTTCTCCACTTTCATTTTCAAACGGACTGACTTAACAGAACGCAGGTCGGGGGGGGGGGGATGTGATGCTCACTGACAGATATCCGCCTCACTTCTTCGAACCTTGTTAAATGATCCCCGGTAATGCGCTAAGGTTCAAATCCGCACGGCGGCACCGGAGCAGAAGGATGGAGCGATTAATACGGTCTGGCGTTGGTGTTGACTGCAATCAATGTCTCGTAATGGGCTGTTTAATGTGGCGGGAGCCGTTTAACTCCCTCTGGAGGAGAGTCCACGCTGAAGGAGATGACTGTCTGCGACTCGAAGCTGGACGGTGCACGCGTGTGTTACTGTAGCAGGAATCAATGTCTAGCTTTTGCCTCGGAAGGAAGCAGTATGAATGGATTAAGGACTGCTTGATGTGGGTGATGTTTGCCCCCTTAATGGCCATGCCGTCAACCTCCAAGACATATTAATGTGTCTTAATGTGTTGAAAGTCTACCAGGATTAGCCTTGCACGATCATGCTTTATCATTACTCCAAAACAAGTTTTTCCTAAACAAACCATCATCAGGGATCCATCCATCCATCCATTTTCAACCGCTTATCCGGGGTCGTGTCGCGGGGGCAACAGCTCCAGCAGGGGACCCCAAACTTCCCTTTCCCAAAGTGTTCCGATAACCCCCTCAGTTGCGGTCAACATGGTCCCATCCTTACTGTACACAGCTTGGATGGTCCCCCGTTTCCCCCTCCTGGGGTGCCGGATGGTCTTCCAGAAGCACTTTGGTGCCGACCGAAAGTCCTTCTCCATAGTTACCCCGAACTCCTCCCATACTCGCTGCTTTGCCTCCATCACGGCAGAGGCTGCTGCCCTTCGAGCCTGTTGGTATACTGCAACTTCCTCCGGAGTCCCACCGGATATCATAACCCGGAAGGCCTCCTTCTTCAGTCGGACGGCTTCCCTGACCACCGGTGTCCACCACGTGGTTCGAGGGTTACCGCCCCTTGATGCACCTAAGACCTTGAGGCCACAACTCACTGCCGCGGCTTCAGCAATGGAGGTTTTGAACATACACCACTCTTGTTCAATGTCCCATACCTCGACAGGAATGTGAGAGAAGCTCCGCCGGAGGTGTGAGTTGAAAATCTTTTGGACCGGGGCCTCCTCCAGACGCTCCCAGTTCACCCTCACTACACGCTTGGGTTTACCGGGTCTGTCCCGAGTCTTCCCCCATCGTCTGACCCAGCTCACAACCAGATGGTGATCAGTTGACAGCTCTGCCCCTCTCTTTACCCGAGTGTCCAGAACATGCGGCCTCAGATCAGACGATACGATTACAAAATCGATCATTGATCTTTGGCCTAGGGTGCTGTGGTACCACGTACACTTATGAACATCCTTATGTTCGAACATGGTGTTTGTTATGGACAATCCGTGACTGGCACAGAAGTCCAGTAACAAACACCCACTCGGGTTCAGATCAGGGAGGCCATTCCTCCCAATCACACCTCTCCAGTTATCTCCATCGTTGCCCACATGCGCATTGAAGTCTCCCAGTAGGACTATGGGGTCCCCTACTGGAGCCCCATGCAGGACTCCATTCAGGGTCTCCAAAAAGGCTGAATACTCTGAGCTGCTGTTTGGTGCATATGCACAGACAACAGTCAGAGTTTTCCCCCCCACCACCCGAAGACGTAGGGAGGCAACCCTTTTGTCCACCGGGGTAAACTCTAATGTAGCAGCACTCAGCCGGGGACTTATCAGGGATTATTGTTTTTAAATGATTGTCCAAAGGAACCGGCGCACATTCTGCTGCATTCAAGTCACGTTGGATGAAACGCTCTGTAACGACTTTCAACTGTACGGCGATCTTTCGATTGTTTAGGATGTCAATTGAGTTTCAGCAGCCTGAACAAGTCAAATGTTCACATTCACTGAATGAGCACTGCATGTTTTAATAGCGTAATTGGTCTTGCGGGGTTGAAGTACAGCGTGAACGATGGAAACGGGATCCTATTAGGGTTTAGTTGTGGAGCCTGAGAGGCGCGAGAGGGGGGGGCTTCCACTCCAGAGGCCGAGGCTTAATCCCCTGCAGCCTGCGGCTCTGCTCAACACCCCATTACACACAACTGCATTCAACCTATTAGCCATTTGTAGCACAGATCGCAATGCTGATTTAGTTACTTTAAAGTTAAGGAACATTTGTCGAAAAAATGTTAATGTTTATATTGCATTGAAGTTGCTTCGTCATCTGGAAACTATTATATTTAGCTGCAAAAAAGTGACTAAATGAAAGGAGTGAGCAACATGGATAAATGTTTTAGTCTTATCTGTGCTCACACCAACACAATTATCTAAAACACCAATAATCAGCTTCATGCTGCAGTTTTTCTTTGTTCACACTGATTAATTATTTTCTCTGCTACTTTTAGATTGAGCTTTAAAAACAGCATCACATACGTTTGTGACGGGTTCTAAAGATCAACCTCCCCACGGAGACCAAAATCATCCTCCTCCAAGCTCTGAGACGTATCACATCAGCTGCCGCTACAAGAGGTTCACATCCCTTTTGTCTCACGCTTTGACGAGTTCTCTTCGGCGGCGGCGCTCTGCGAACAAAACTAAATCACTAAATCAGAACAAAACCCCAAAATGATTTCACATTTTTCAGGGACAATGTCGTTTGTTTTGGGCTTGGATGGTGTGAATATCTTCAATAGCTGGAGTAAAACTTTTAGTCCAGGCAGCCAAAGGATGAAAAGGATATCGACTCAGGAAAAACAGTGGCAAAGAACAAACACCACACACACACTCACGCTTTTGGTATCGATGATGGTGCTTTGATAGCTCCCCGCCGAAAGAAGCACAACAATGTGTTTAATGAGTGTGCGTGTGTCCGTGCATTAGATCGCCAGAAGTAACACTTGTTAAAAGCAGTCTGGGCGTGAGACCAAGGCACAGACCCCTGACCGAGCACACAGCCTGCAGATTTATTGGCCACACGCACACACATGCACACACGAACGTGGAGGACCAAAGTCTCTCTTTACTCCAATGATTTCCGTTCCATCACTCGTTTCTCCCTCTCATTCTTTCTCTGTCTGGTACTTTTATCCTCTTTCGCTCTGGCTCTTCCTTTACGCACCTTGCTCTTCATTTTCCTCTTGTACTCTTACACACAAAGAGAGAGAGAGAGAGAGGGAGGGAGGGTGAGAAATATGAGCGACGTGGTAAAGTGTGATTTTGGCCAGCGGCGAAAGGGGGCAAATGGGAAGAGAGAGCTTTATAAAAACGTATCCCAAATCCAGGCCAGTCAGGCACACATTCACAGAAAGACACACACACACACACACACACACACACACTGGGCGACTGGGAGGCTCATCTCTGTTTGAGCTTCATTGGCGCTGACACTCCCGCGTGGCGGCGAATGGGACTTGATGTCTGAGGCCCCGGCCTGTGATTCGCTCACAGGGCAGCCACTCGTTAGAGCAGAAAATGGAGGGAGGGAGCCTGAAAAACAAGACGGAGGGGGCAGAGGATGCACAGTTGTTTCACTCCATTTTGCTGTGCTGTGGATGAGATGGTAAGTATCCCCTGAGGCGTCTACGCCCTCCAAAGATCACTGCCCTGGCTTGGCTTTGCCTTTTCCTCCTCCGTAAGCAGCCTTCGCTTCCACGTTGCTCAAGTCACTGTCATACCGCACCTCTTCTGCTGGAAGTAGGCAGCACAGCGGAGGAGACAACACTTAAAAGGTTCAACGCCCCGCCAGAGATCAACAGAACGGCCAAAAGGCTGAGCCATTTAAAACCACGCCGTGCTCCAGCACGTTGCAGGTCACGACCCAATCTTGACAAACATCACAGCTGGTGATTAGAAAATATAGATGCGGTGTGTGGAACAGGCTGTTGAGGTTGTAGCGCAAAACCTTCTCCCATGTGACCGGCGGCTCTCTTCCCTGCTGCAGCCTCCAGGCCACCGTTCTTCTCATTGTATGTGTCCACTACTAACATTAGCACGAAAGCTAACGGACATAATTAGCCAGGTCACTAAATGTGAAAAATTGTTGCCACGCAGCGTGCGCCTACGTGAACGGGTAAGCAGTGAAGCGTGATGTTTCCACCCCCCGTGCCAAAAGGTGTAAAGGGTCAGGGCCGTGGCAAGCGAAGGCGAAAGAAACGACATGCCGTGGCTTTGTCTCATGCGTCTCTCGCCCCAGACGGCTCCGCCTGATGTGATGCCATCAGAACTGTTCCCCTTTCCGTTAAGAGGATGAGGTCATTACGTCGAGAAGAAGCAAAGGGAGGAATAAGGAGAGCACGAGAACACTTTTTGTATCCTTAGAAATTCTCCCAGTAGCTATCATTGGTTTTCTCTTAAGGCCTCCCTCTCGTTCACCTCCCTTCAGTGGGTTCCTCTTGCCGTCTCTGCTCCCTCTAGAATTCCCTCTCGTTTTGTCTCCTCCTTGCTATTCCTCATTTCGGTCTTGTTCCCCTTATTTGTAAGAGAGCCAACTGTCTACATGCATCAGCAGGGAGGAAGCTGCCATTAAATATGTATATGCTTGTATTCTTTGATCATAATCATCGTTTAATCTTTCAGTCTAGCAGGGTTCTTTTGGCTTCCGCGCAAAGGAGCTGAAGATGTCTTGATTTTATTATTTCTGCTTTCTTAACACAACCCCCCTTCATTACTGGCTCAGTGGCTGTGTGATCTCTCGTTTCCCCTGTTTTCCTGGACTCTTGCGGCGTCCGTGTCTCTGTATGTGTATGTCCGTCCCCCTCTTTGGATCTCCTTGTGAAGTCCTCTCTGTTACATCTCAGACTTTTCATATACATTTCTCCGACCTTCGTCTGTCCCTCAATGACTTCTGTCTGTGTCCATCTCTGGGGATGATTTCACATGATAGCAGATGTTGGAGGTGGGATTGGGAGGTTGCGGCTCATAGAGGACAAAGTCACAGTGAAGATCGAGTTCTACGGTAATAACGTTTACTCAGCGCTTACCCAGCGACGGCAAAGTAGCGGTAATTCTTTCCAGCTGTGTGAAGTGTTCAATTTAATAATGATTTTAATATAATTTCATAGCGTATAATAATGCTGGCTTTCATTATAGGACAATAAAAGGTAATATCTTGCGTATTTGCTTCCTTCCCCGGCAATGGGGGAAGGGACATTATAATTAGTTTTGTCAGATGCTGTCATTCAGGTGCTGCTTTCACACCGAGCATGTTTGTAGAGTTTTTTTCACGCTGTGGAGATATTCGCCTTGCTGACTTTTACCAGGTGAGAGGGGGGCATTTGTGGCACTAAATCAACACACTAACAAAAGTTTAAAAGGGGTATTCTTCAAGTGTGGTGCAGAATGCAGAAACCGTCCTGTGACAAAGATGCTACATAGTGAAAGTCAAGAGGTTGGATCCCTTCCTGGTGGTCCCCAGCTACGGTATGAAGGGGCCGGGATGACAAACACCACCTCCGTGTCTGTGGCCAAGCTACTCTGCAGGGAGAACAGTGGTTCAGGTTTAGAGAAAGTCAGTTCCATGAGTTCTGAGTATTTTAGCTCTCTGTAAAACGGTCGATTGGTCATTGCAGCAGCAGTAAGGGAGACCCTTCATTGTTTTAAAGTGAAGCCTTGCGGGCCGGGCTCCTTTTTAAATGAAAGGGGGTCAAAAAAAGGGGGGTTTGCATGTGAGTTGGAAGCTCTTCTATGAGAGTATTCTGGTCTTGCCCGAAGGAATATGCATCCCACGTGGCTGGTTGATCCCCAGGAACCTTGGACATGTCTATGAAGGAAGACGTGTTGGCTGCCTTGCAGAGCTCGCTGCAACAGCAGCTACAGAGCAGCATAAGTAGGAAGAATGGATGGATTGATGGATGCGGTGTCCCACGAGGCTGAAGCCGCATTTTGCTTTCTCATTTTATTTGTCCCCTAAGGGTAACTGGTTTCAAAGCAATGAAAAAAAAAACAGCTATTATATTTGCAGGATATTTGTCCAGCCCTCATTCCTGTGCACATTATATCTCAGTAGACGTCTGTCGGTTATTAAAAAACATGTTTTTGTCTCCAATTCAAATAGTAATAATGACAATTTCACACAAATGGATGAAATCCGTTTCAGACAAACATGGATATGTCACATAGCAGTAACATGGTAACTAGTAGTTTTTAGTAGTTTAGTTTTGACCTACAAGAGTCCAAATGAACAAAGGTTGTACAGTTTTGACAATTATTCATTAATTGAATATTCAATTCTGCCAATTGTGCTGTTTTGGAAACAGCCGAAAAGAACTTACAAATATACAATTACTTGACTGAAGTGATCGTGTTGTTCTGGATGCAAACACACATTGCAATGCTTACTAGTTATACTTACTAGTTATACCTCTTAATGACTTGATGGCTGTCTCCTATGTGTAGTTTGCAAAACTGAAAACCGTCCTCGCCGTTCATTTTTAATGCAGCTGCTGTTGTTATTTAATACATATTCACCCTCTTTTACTCAAACACACACGGACGCACACACACAATCAATAACTCTCATCATCATCATCACTAATGATTTGTTATTATGCTGAGTTTCATCTTCTGACCTTAATGAGCGGTAATACCGTATGCTGATGAGACAATACAGAGTAACAGGAAGGCACACTCAGACACAACCCAATACACGCACACACACACACACACACACAATTTGCACGCTCAAATCGAGTCATTTGAATGGACGTAATGGGCACAGCCGTGTGGGCATGTGTGGATACGCAGCTTTGGTTTTCTGTGATGTGCAATCATGCAGTCAGTCGCCTCGGAAATATGCAGAACTACAATGAGGACACACGCGGACGCAAACGCATACAACACTTACACACACAAACGTTTCCCACACATCTTACTAAGTGAACGGGAAGTCTCTCACTCCACAGAGGAAGCAGTATTAACAGCACAGGTCTTTTTCTATTTCACGCTCCAACCAAGTGTCTAACAATTTGCATCTCCCACTAACACTTGTACATCTGTTGAGTTGTCAGAAAGGGGAGGTGGGGGAAGCAGAGGAGGAGACGGCATAGAAGGGGAGCGTCCATGAACAAGTGAGATGGGGAAAAGAAAGTAGGGACAACCAAGAGACACAATTGGGTGTTTCATTCTACGCTTGTGTTGTGTGTGTGTGTGTGCGCAGGTTTCAACCCGCCGGCTTGGTGGAAAGGATCCAAGCTATCGCTCAGAACGTCTCCAACATGGCTAACAGGGTGGAGCAGATCCTGCAAAACAGCATGTTGCAGGGAAGAGGTACGTACCCATCATCATCATCATCATCATCATCGTTGTAATTGGTGCAAAAGGCTTTTTTTGTTTTACTTACATTGTGGTTGCATAAGACATCAAAAAACACAACTAACAAAAAAGGAATTATCAGCAATAATCAGTTCAAAGATACACAGAACTCACCTGAACACAGATTGCCTTGTGTACTACAAACTTACAAACCATTCAAAGGGAAGAAAAGTTACTTTAGTGTTCGTCCTCATTAATGTTGTAACTTGTAAGTGTGACTGGGCTCGTGCTCCGCTGCCAGTAACAGAATTGGAATTAGTAACAGAACAGAAGAGAATACACAAGATTTGAGCACATTTGTGCGCACACATGCTGACTAAGAGGCAATATTGTCTGTGTCACGTTAGCAGACTTTCATTGTCGCCAGTGCTGTAGTGGTAAAATTAGAGGTGGGTAAACTCTGAATTTTGTGATCATACAGACCTCGATGCGATGCGAAGCAACGCAACACAAAGCGTCGAGACTCTGTAAGGCTGTCCTGGCTATATTGCATTATGTTATCAGTAAAAGTCATATACAATCATTGACAATGAATACATGTGTTAGTAGTTTATTAAATTTAAGAAAACAGTAAAGAAAAGTATGTCAACACAAAAAAATTGCAGATTAAGAACTATCTCCTTTTTACAGTAGTGCCCAGAGGGCCTCCTTGTCCTCCACGTCAGGTCCTGCCTTGCACAGAGGAGCCATGAACCCCAGAACGCGTGTTCTGGGGTTCATGGCTCCTCTGGTGCTCTTCTCTCTCTATTGAACCTGATGTTTCTCCTTCTCCCTGTGCTGTCTGCATCATTGCCTGTCCTCTCACTGCCTGAAAAAATATGTTGAATTTAAGAGCTAAGAGCTAAGAGTTAAGCAGCCTGTCAATTACACTGACAACATAAGTTAAAGGAACACTCAGCATGTTTTTTTTCACATTGAGAACTGACTTGTTTTCTAATCTACGCGTCACCAGGCGTTTTTCTTTTACCGTGCACGACCAGCGAACACAGGGCGCGCGACTACTCCCCACTGACAGCGCCTACGTCGGTTGTTTCGCCCGCAACGAGGGCTGCACTGAGGCACTGATTTGATGCTCACAGACCGTAATACAGCGCAGATGAACATGTTTCACGCTACGGCGTTTATATGTTCAACAATAGGAAACGTAGTCTTAGCTGTTTTAAAATTACACCAAAGTTATTTCGGATTTTTTCCAACGGAAGAATACAAGGCGCAGGAAACTTTGAGGTCCCTAAACGCCACTTAGAGGTGCGTAAACGCTATTTTCTAAAATTCAATAGGTGCGTAAACAGCGTTTACGTGCGTTTTAACCCTCCACTACAGCCCTGATTGTCGCACTTAGACCCTAATAAACTTTCTAATTTCTAAAAGGATATTTACATATTTTATATTTCAACGAAACGTGAGAAGATCTTATCATTTCAGACATCTGAACAAGGGACCCTGAAGTGCAAAATGTGTTTTGGGGATTTATTCTACTCTTTAATTTGCTCAAAAAGACCAACCACAAATCTGAAAACATTGACGTCTGAGAGTTGCACTCGTAAAAGCCTGTAGTTAGATAGATTGACTTCATTTGTTCTGGATGTCTTCTCTGGCAGCACTGTTGTGTTTTACATGTGGGACTCTGAGGTCATCTCTGCATCATCCCTTTATTGCCTCCCTCCACCACTGTCGTTTGCTCTTGTCTCGCTCTCCCACATTTATTAATCAAAACAAAAATGTTTTGCACGCGCAAATATTACAACCCACATTATGATCATTCTTTCCTCCTTGTTGTCCTCCCTCACTTTTCTCTCGAGTATAATTGCCCAACTCTTTACATGAGAATAAATGAGTGTCACATCTCCTTTTGTTCCTCCCCACCGCGTCCGCAGGGACTGACGGCACGCGGCATAATGAAAACCCCGCTGCTTTCTCTAATCACAGATGAATTGAAACTCTGCCGGCAGACTTTTATTTTCATACGGCTCAGTGGTGCTTTTTTTATCTCGTGGTCAGGCGTGTGCGAGGGAGAACGACAGCAGACAGGGACACAGAGAGAGAGGACGTGATTAGAATATCCTTCCCCTCAAGCACCAAGGAGGCTTTTATTTTTTGCCTTGCAATGACAGCAGTCAAGTTTTTATCTAGTTAGTTGACCACATTTCCAATTGTTCCCACCACGGTTGCTGCTGTAATCATATTTGAAAGCGGCGTGCGTCTCGCTGTGTGTTTGCAGTCGATTGGAGAGAAGCCCCCCGGGGAAGACTTATGTGGAGAAATGTCTCACTTTCATTAGGCAAATGAAAACAAACGGAAGCTAAGGGAGAAGGCAGATTTATTGGCCCGGGAGAGAAAGGAATAGAAAGACAGAAAAACAATGAGACATTCAACCTGGACCTTTATTTCTTCTTGGACGACGTCATTCCAATCTTGTTCATCTCTGTCTCTGTCCCTCTCCTCCTTTCTTCCCCCTCACATCAGCAGCAGTTACTTAAGCCGGTGGAGCAATTAATGCAGTGAGTGTAGCCTAAGCGAGCGGACGGATTTGCCGGCGTAACCGTTGGACGGTTGGCAGCAGCGGGGTGGGGGGAGGGGGGGGGGGTTGCGAGTGTCAGGCCCAGTGAATGCTGTGCACTGCAGCGGAGCGGATACCAGCGCGATGTTGCGAATGGGAAACCACAGGGATTTATGGTGCATATGGCGCTGAGAGCAGTGATTGTAATGATGATGAAGGAAGCCAATGTCACCATAAAATGGTTGAGAGGGGGAGTGCAGAGAGCCACTAACGGGAGCGACTCTGTAACCTGGCGGTTCCGAGGGGGGAGGCTGTGGGTCGGACAGGTTTATGTCTGCAGTAACTTTGTGGAAATGAAGAAAGGAAGGAAGGAACATTTTGAGGCTTTAAGGTGCACCCGGTGCTGCTAAATGAGCTGCATGATTGTATACTAGTGGCTCGGAATTGTTATTTTAGTTATTATGACAAAAGGCGACTAACGTATAAGAGCAAAGTCTCGACTAATGAAGCACTGATAGTGAAGCAAACTATCTCCCTCACAGGAGTTATATGTTGATTCATCGTGCAGCTCAAAATAAGGAGTGGATCCTGGTATGTTAAGCCGACAAAAAACGCACGTTTTCTTACTAATACTTGAATTTCACTCACTGTGTTTTCTCAGCAGTGAGAGATGGGACGTCCAGCCAGTGTGAAGTACCCAGAGACCCCCGCTTTCCCGAGTGCCCGGGGAAAGTAGATGTGAGTGTCCATCTGTTATTTAAAACCCATTAGACCGTTCATCTCTGACTAGCCACTTGAAACTAACTATATTTCTCGGGAGGTGACACATGGTGTGACTAGGAAAAGAGCTTTAATATGATTGTTTAATATGAGTTTTACATGTTTTCAACCCAGAAAATCCTCCGTGCAAAGCCCCGGGGACTGAAACTGCTGTTAAATAAAATCCTTTATACTCGGTTGGTTCATGCACTTCCTGTGTCCTCTATATTCGTCCAGTGGATGCGTGCACGTTGGACTTCCGACCCCTGCTACGCCTTCTACGGTGTCGACGGCTCAGACTGCTCCTTCCTCGTCTACCTCAGCGAGGTGGAGTGGTTCTGTCCCCCGCTGGCCTGGAGGAATCAAAGCAGCCCGCCCACCCAGTATGTTCTGCAGCCAAAGGCCCCCAAAAGACAGGTGAGCGGAACACATCTGTCAGAGAGCATGTAGCGAGGGATGCTCGTGCTCTGCAAGGGCTTAACGTGACGCCAGCGCTGTTGGCCCTGATAGAGCCGCGTACAGGCAGACAGTCCGGGCTGAATGGGATGTGTAGTAATTGCTACTGGATTAGGTTGGCTGATGCCCCGAGAGGTTTTGAGCACTCATTCCCAGCCCCATGCCCAGTGGGTGAAGGCTACCACTTGACAGTAAAGATGTACGGTAAAAACATAACGGATTTTGGTTGGCCCTTCAACGTAGCATCAATATGGCTTTGATGCACCAGAGAAGCAGCATCTAGCAACTACTTAACTTGGTTGCATTACCAATGCCTACTACAGTAATGTTCAACAAGTTATTCATTTAAACCTACACAATAATAGCATCTTTCAGGTAAAATAACTCTCATTTAGTTTAAATTAAAGGTTGAAACTGTTGCCAAGACAGTGGAGAAACAGCTGCTCTGGTAAAATAATGCACGGCTCCCAATTTGTGTTTTTATGATGACGGATCCCTTTTCCTTTCACCTTTGTTTGATTAAAAATACCACATCAAATTAACTAGCCAGCTTAGAATTACAACTTACAATGCGTGCCCACTAACAAAGGTTATGTCAAAACCCTACGGTTGTACAATTAATTTTGGGATCAAGGCAGTTCCTTTAGATTCATACTGTGAGTTTTGAAATGAGGGTTAAATAGTGCGGCTGGTTATTTGGAGTAGCTCTTGCAGTTGCATTTAACCCTGTTCGGATTTTTCTCAGGTAGCTGTTATGTATTTAAGAATGAATTTAATAAATGACTCCTTTTTGCAACTAGTGATGATTTGTGGATGCTGCTTTGGCTCAGGATTCTTTTCCAGTGCATCACGGGTAAAAATTAAAAAAATACTACAGATTTGCAAATTTTAGACCAACCACTTGAGAAGTGTGAAGTAAAAAAACGTTAGGAGACATTATACCAACATATTGAATCTTGCTCTCCTTGGAAACCATTTTTTGTTAGCAGCCTGTAATAAGAGAGACAAAAAAATCAGGATTTAAGAGGGATTGAATGTGGTCATTAAGTCGTCAGAAACAGATCCAGAGGAGCAATAGGGAGAAGAGAAGAACTCTCAGTCCTTTTGTTCAAAAGACTTGTGTTATAGGAGCAGTCTGCCGTCACCGCTACATAAAAGTTAACCTTCATACGACCCTTCTTCTAATTAAAAAAGGCTTAATCCTCCTCATTGTTTTCTTCAACTTTTTATTTAACTAAACATTAACTTTGAAATGATGAATAATACTTGAATTCAAGTATGCGCGATATGGACTGCTTTTAAGTTGATAACAATAACAAAAAAAGATGAGATAACTGTAAATTTCCATTTATGCTTTTTTTAAAAAGGTCAGAAGCTGTTTGTGTATTCCCGAAGGTGAGAGAGTGTTTGGTGAACAATAAACCAACTTTAAGGTGCATACGGCCACCGACTATATTGGACTGTGCAGAAGCAACTTGACGTTATATATTTGGGGCTGAGATTTTATCACCAACAGTTTAACTGTCTTCATAATAAACAGTAATTAACATTTGCCATTATCAGCCGCTGATATATCGGCCTGATATACGCATCCCTCCTCGAATTCCTTACAGAGACAAACTAACACGCAGTGTGACTGTAGCACGATGCAGCGCCACACACACAAAAACACCAGCACCTTTTCTTTTTTTTACAAAGGGAAACCCTTTGGGGAACTACCACTGCTGATGCCGGTGTCCTCTGGGTCTTCACAGTGATAATAAATATGGGTTTAGAGGTTTATTAAATGGAAAGGACATAGTTCAAGTTACAGTGGCCTGCTCAGCCTTTCTGCAGAGTGTTTTGGATCAAAACGCAATCGTGACGTGTGCGCGCTGTGCGCTGGTGTGTATGGGTTAACCTCGCCTTTATTTGCACTTTATTTTTGGTGGCAGTGAATTTTTCAGGCGGGTTTTCAAAATGTCACCCCAACTGAAGACTGATATCTCCACCTTATCCTGTGACCCAAATTACCCAACTGTGGATTAGAATCTTCCTGTATCCCGCTCACAAACCAGGCTGAGCCAAAGTTGTTCTCACAGGACAAAACTTTACTGTCTGTACTACAAAGCTTTTATTTGAGTGGAGCCACTGAAGCCAGCCTCTGAATACTGTAGTAAAACAAACGGTCACGTGAACATCGTTCTCATAGGACTCTGTCATACTTGTGTAAAAATAGGAGAAGGTCTCGTCCGTATTGCTGCTGCTAAATTGAAATTGACTGTGGAACCCGTTTGGCCCGATTGCTACATTCTGACAACTTGAATCCATTCACTTCCCAGGCCGCCTTCCGCACGGACCTGTCTGTACTGCTGGACCAGGTCGGGGCCGGGAAGGAGTCCCTCAGCTTCATGAAGCGCAGGATCCGCCGCCTCGCGCAGCAGTGGGCGATGGCCGCCAACCGCCTGGATGCAACGCTGGAGCAACGTTGGAGGGACCAGAAGAAGGTGAGAAATGGAGTGGGGGTGAGGGGGTAAGGAGATTGCACGTCTATTAAAAAGAAAAACTACGGGAAGAAGACCAGGATAGCAGTACAATACTTAAAGACAAATGTCTAACCCTTAAATGGGGGATTCCAGGTCAGCTAAAATCATTTGAATTCAAAGATCCAAGGCAGGGCCACCACCGTTTCCCACTCAAGTAGATTTCTTTGACGCGTCTGGAGGGTTCTCACTTTGAATGGTGATGGGACTAAAATCATAGAGGAGGTAATGACAGGATGTCTGAGGTCTGACTGCTCTGGTGTCTTTTTGTAACCGTTTCCAAAGCTTCGTTTTTGAAAATAAGAATTTATCGCGTTATCCAACTGTTAAACAGTCCTCATTTTCGTGGCGGTTTGCACAGCTGTGCAGCGTTCTTCCTGCTAGCAACCATGCGTGCCAGAGGCTTAGTGTGGGCAAACAGAAAGGAAGAGAAGCAGGAATAGATCAAAGAAAAGGTTTAAAAGGTTGAGAAATGATTGCAAACTATTGTGATCGTGATGAAATGCATGAGTGTGCGACAGAGCTGGAGTTTGAAGAATAAAAGGAAAAGGGACGGACGAGAGGCAGATAAATGGTGGGAAGGTATTCTAGAATCTGGATTTAGGAAATGATTGGGGGATTAGAAAGGGAACAAAAGACTTGAAAGCAGAGATGCCTGTGAAGGCAATTTGGTTAAAGATAGAAAAGAGTTAGAAATAAGACTGAACTTTAAAGGATTCTCTAAATATTTGTAAAAGCAATTTGTAATAAAATCTTTGAGTCTAATAAACACATTTTCCGCATGTAATCTTTCACTACACGAGCCTATTGCCCACTCAGCCCGCTCTGGGTAGGTTGAGGAAATAATGATGAATGAACGTGTTAATGCAAAGGGGCAGATGTAAACTACACATTCTGCTCCTTCTACCTAAAATGTCTCTCTTTGCCCCCATTTCTCTCTAAAAGGGTGAAAATAGTCTGTTTCTGTGTTCCTCTTGTAATGCACTGAGGGGTTTTGTTTTCCTACATCACGGACGATGTTAACGTCTATATAGATTTATAATGTGCCGCAGCTATCTGAGCCGTAGACGTCTGTGGTATTTGTAAGACTAAGCCTTCCCCGTCGAAAGCTGTTCATCAAAATAATTAGAAATGAGAGGAAAGTGTGTTTGTGTTTGCATAATTTGCAGTAAAAGCCAAAGGCTGAATCTCATACATTTTATTTGACAATTTAATCTCAGTCTGAACTACTCAAATATAACGTTTTTCATCTGTTTCCCATCCACACCCGTGGAAAGATTTATGTTCACTTTCACTTTTAAATAAAACAAAGGGCTGGCTTTTGAAATTGAAAAAGGCAAACGCTGTTTGATTTTAATTAACTAGAACCTCTGCAAAAACATTGTCTGATGTGAGCTGCACTCGCCTGACCTCTGTCTGTGACGGAACCCCTCGGTTCCAGTGGCCACTTTAGCATTCTGCTGGAGTGTGCAGCTTTTACAATTCCAGCGGGGTTTCCCGTTAGTTCACTTCTGTTTCCTTGTTTGGCTTTCTCTTTGATTGTGAGCGGAGTGGATGTTTACTCAGAAAAGGAATAAATTAGCAGAGCAGAGAGGCAAGCTTCCAGGGAGAGAAGGATCAAGAGAGGGAGAGAAAGCAGGATGATTCTTTTGAACTCTCAGTGGGGAGGGACGGGGAGGTGTGTGAGTGTGTGTGTGTGTGTGTGTGTGAGATGACCGTGAAAACTTTGAGAAACTTATTTCTGAGGTTGAGTCGTGGACGAGGTGGAAGTTTCAGAGACATTATATGAAAGCTGCCGCATTGAATGAGGCAGAAGCCGCCTTAAACATTCTAGGAAATCTCTTATTTTGTGATTAATCCACAAAGTGTGTTTCCTCTTTGATCATGGGGCTCAGGGTAAAAATTAATCAATAAATCAATCTCCTGCTGCACTTCACTTTCAAAGCAGCTCCGTTCTGAATCATCTTTCCTTTACGAGACCTCAAGGCAAAAATATTCAGCAAAGCCACGGCGCGACGGAGAGCTTTTAAGAGACGATTGCACAGATTCAAGGACGCTCACCGTGTCTTGTTGCCTGTCTAGACTGGATCCAAGAGGCAGAAAGTGACTTTGTGTGCATCTGCGGCCACTTGGTGATGGTGCATAGTGTGTTTGTCAGCATCCGCCTAACCGCTCATTTCCCTTCTCCCAGTGTCTGGCCTCTCGACAGTTGATTGACCCCCTGACTGATGAAGTGCAGACAGAGTGGGAGCTTAATGGGATGTGTAGTGGGGGGGTGGGGGGGGGGAGTAAAGACGTGAGGGGAAAGCAGGTCTGTGGAGCGTTGACTCGGAGGATGACGGAGAAGGTTAACTTAAGGTTTGGGCGGCGGATGGTTGGCAGCGCCAGCTCGCCTCGCCGCCCGCGGCCTTCCATCGGACAGCTGTGACCTCCATGAGGGCCGTAGTGCACGAGTGAACCGGGTCGCACGGGCGCATTCCACCCCCCCACACACACACACACACGTACGGCATGCCTCAACGTGCATTAGCATTCCTCTGCCAGTCAGCGATGAGTAGAGTAGGTGGGACTCCGTACCTGAGAGACACTTTTAATATCAGCGCATCAAGGACTTTTCAAGGATTCTACATATTTAATGAAATGTTCCGAACACAAATTTTTATTTTCCACCCTGTGTCTTATTAGTTGTATAACTACAAGTTCCCAAAACACACATTCTGAATGCAGATTTGAGCATGAGAGCGTTGTCATGGTGCCTCCCCGTCCGTCTCAGCGGGTTTGGCGGATGGTTGTGCTCGATCCCCACGGGGCGCCGACAGAAGAGAGTGGCTTCGGATTCAAACGAGAGACGCACACAGAGTTCACTGATGTATGACAGTGAGTGTGACGCAAAGGCACGCACAACAAACAAACAAACAAACAAACAAACGAGAAGGACGGATTCAACAGCCTTCGGCTCGCACACACACGCCCTGAGACCCCCACTCTCGCATGTGAGATCGGGTGAGGCGTGCGGCCTCAGTTCATGAGGAAGTGCAGCTTTAGCGTCAGCTGACGGCCTCGCCATCGCGCGGCTCCTCCCACCCGTTCATCTCCAATCCGTGGAGCGATGAAACCCAGTGCGAGCCCACCCTCACTGGCTCTCCCTCTGCTCTCCGTTTCTAGCTGCCGATTGCTGCTCTGTGATGTAAAGGTTACTTCTCCGGCGCGGCTCTGATATGTGTCACTGAGCTCCGCGCTAATCCGGTTCCCATTCGGGGGAATTAACATTTCCAAATGGAGATAAATACTGCCTATTACAGAGAGTGAGATCCCCCGACAGCACTCCAGCTCCCAGGTGCAAGTTGCCAGGTTTGGTTAAACGGCCTTACCTGCCCCCCCCCCCCCCCCCTGTTAACTTTTCATTTGTGTGTGGATGCCAGATTGCTAGAATTCAATCCACAGCCCTGCAGTCACAGAGTGATATTCCTCGTGTTTATTTAGCTTCATCTCTTGCGCTGCTGCCAGTATGTGAATTTCGCCTCCCTCTGACTCCCATCGCCTCCCTCTGACTCCATCGCCTGCCTCTGACTCCCATCGCCTCCCTCTGACTCCCATCGCCTCCCTCTGACTCCATCGCCTGCCTCCGACTCCATCGCCTGCCTCCGACTCCATCGCCTGCCTCCGACTCCATCGCCTCCCTCTGACTCCCATCGCCTGCCTCTGACTCCCATCGCCTGCCTCTGACTCCCATCGCCTGCCTCTGACTCCATCGCCTCCCTCTGACTCCATCGCCTCCCTCTGACTCCATCGCCTCCCTCTGACTCCATCGCCTCCCTCTGACTCCATCGCCTCCCCCTGACTCCATCGCCTCCCCCTGACTCCATCGCCTCCCTCTGACTCCCATCGCCTCCCTCTGACTCCATCGCCTCCCTCTTACTCCATTGCCTCCCTCAGACTCCATCGCCTCCCCCTGACTCCATTCTCGCGTGGTCGCCTGTGTTTGCGCGCCGTTTTCTCGCCAGCACCGCCGCCGACCTGCGGCCGAGGCGGGAGAGTGCACTCTACTGGCGCCACGAATCCTCACTCGCCATCTGCCACCCAAACTGTAATTAAATTTCACTTATCTTTTTTTATGAAGCAGAAGTTAATAGAGCAGCCTTATTAAATCAGGGGGGTTTTCACGCCAGCTGGAGCTTGACTCTGCCGAGTGCCCGCCATTGTCCTCACATTTTGTACATGTTAACTTTAGTGGGATCACTTGAGCAATTCGACTGGATGATTACAGTTATTACACTGCATGAAAGAACAGCCCATCACTGGATATGTTTTTAGTCTCGGACAGGATCATAAAACGTGTGATGTGCAGTGCCAAGGTTTGTTTGCCGTGCGTTCCCACGGTAACCTTCAAACATTAGTACATGGTGGCTAATGTGGCTTCATGGAGACAGGAGGAGAGTATTAAAGCAGCGCACTGCGGCACGCTTCTGAAAGGCTCTTGGAGGCTTTTAATCATTACCTCTCCAGTTCAAAGCTGTGAGGGAACAAACACAGTACCCAGATGCACTTAGATACAGGCAGGGAGAGAGAGGGAGGCGTCCAAACTTTTAACTTTCAAACTCCCCACAGTTGGCATCAAACTCATTCCGTACGTCGCACGGAGGTGTTCATGCCGCGCCGGCTAATCAGGATTAACCAGCAGAGCCGCGTTTTGGACATGGCCGCATCTAATCCCCTGTGAAAGGCAACGTGTCGCTAATTTCTCGGTGGGTTGCGCTAATTACAAAGCAGCTAGGTGGACATGCACGACAGGACTGTAAGTAGCAAGTTGCACAATAGTGCAACATATAAACTGGGATAATTCCTCCACGTGTGTTGTGCCAGGTTATTTTGACCCGAAAGGGATTCCCATCGGGGGGCTGGTACTTTGTCCCAGCGGTTATCTGCACAGGCGTGCTGTGCGTGTGAAATGAGTTGTCCGTGAGGATGGATTTCGACACGCGCCTGCTGTTCCTTTGGAGCAGGAGACCGTGATTCATTTGGGGATTTCCAAGAACTGCTTTTCATTTTCTGGTGGAAGAGTCTGAAATTCCAATGATCTTAATCCTCAAACTCATTAAAACAGTTTGCACCGCGGAGGCTTAACTTTCAAGGAGCTTAGCCTCATACAGTACAGTATGCACACATGCATGAATGATTTAATATAAATCAGATTAAATTAAATGTGCTTGATGACATTGTGCCTTGTGTGTGTGGAAATTACTGCACCAACATAAACTTCAATAGATGCATATTTTGGTAAATAATGAGAAATTATAAATTGAGAGTGTAGCTTCTTTGGTCACATTGCTCTGGACTTTTACGTTTAATCTATGAGTTAAGAATGCAAAGTCAGGCCTACTAAGCTGCACAACATCATTCCCAATTAGTCCAGTTTTCTATAGACAATGGTTTGTTGTAAACGTCCATCACTGTCATTGACCAACCTTAAAACTTCTAACTCAACTAAACAACCGCTGTTGTTTTATCTTCGAGTAAGCGAGAAAGAATCCGACCGATCTTGAAAATGTCGTCAGCGGGTTGTGTCCCTGTCTTCTTTCAGATCCTGGTCCACGTAGGCTTCCTAACCGAGGAGTCTGGAGATGTTTTCAGCCCCAAAGTGCTGAAGGGGGGTCCTCTAGGAGAGATGGTCCAGTGGGCCGACATCCTCACCGCGCTCCACGTTTTGGGACACAACCTCAAGATCTCCATGTCCGTCAAGGAGCTGCAAGGGTGAGTTCACTGCTGTTTTTATCAGCTGATGGTGTATGTTTATCCCTTTTCTCATTCCAATGGTTTTCTCCTCAATATACACTGGTAGATTCAATCAATAAAGGGATCGTTTAAATAAGGCAACATATTTGCACTGACTGTCGGGGTCAAGGCTGTTAGTAAACGGAGCGACCCCTGCTAACATCTACATGTTTGATTAACTGAATAAATTACTTTCAATAATCCCGTCCTGTCTGTATTTATCATTTTCATAATGACGCCACAAAATGAAGCTGATGACGACTGACACTGAAAACCACGTTTTACTTCAGCCCCCCCCCCCCCCCCCCCCCCCATTTTTATTTGGTCTTGGACGTACCCATATCGGAACTGAAATGTTCAAGGGGGCGTTGCGCTGTAATTACACTACTTTTCCCATTCAGAACATCCACAAGGGCCCTGAGGTCCTGTTGGATCATTTGTAGGTGCATTGATCCCCGATCGACGCACTCCACAGCCTCCTGGTGGTGCGAATGCATCGGCGTGTGTCTTTTTATCCCCTGCATCAGCACGCTTTGATGTTCTGCTGGAGAATACAGCTACAGAGGCAACACGCACACGCACACACACGCGGATGGGTGGAATGATGTGAAACAAACTCGTGGGGGAAGATCCCTCCCGCGTCTTTGGGCCCTGCAATATCTACTTCACGGTGGAGACTGAATGAATCCCAAAAGGTTGTCAGGCACCAGCGATGACTGACGTTGAAGTTCAGAATACTGAATAGTTACGAGCCTGAGATCACAACCGAACCATGCGGCGCATGTGCGATGTCTTAGTTCGGCCTCAATTGGGGTAATAGTTTTTTTTCTCTCCGCCATCACAGCAAGGACCCGGGTAGGGAGTATAGATCGATGTGATGACAGAGACCCAGCTGTGCCCTCCTCCCACTGTGTGCTGCCTGCGACAACTATGGCAAATCATAAAAGAAGTACTGTATTGACCGCCAGCCTTCGGCAGTCATTTTGGTAGACGTATAACACCGCTGCAGGGAGCAGGAGAGAGAATGACAGACGAGAGGAATTTTTTTCTTTAAAAAATGGGTTTGGAGATAGCAGGGTCGTGCAGCAGGCCGGGCTCAGTTGCCACACTTGAAATTGATGTTGGAACCGTTTTTAGGGCCGTTGTGTCACTGCAATTGTCTCTGGACCTTCGTTTCAAAGACCGATCTCTCTCACAACCCGGGTGGCAACGCGTTTTAGTGAAGCGTGAGCTGGTGTATCAGCATGATGGATCATCTCCTCTCCTCGCCCACATGGCATGCCGTCTGGTTGGAAAAATACCTCTCTGGATTGCTCAGAGAAGCCGTCTACTTTCTCTGCTTTTGGATCCTTAAAAAACACCAGTTGGAGAAATGGCAGTAAAGTGGAACAGGGTTGTGCGGTGCGTCCAACCATTTTTGTGTCAACTTTTTGTTCTCACACATTTCATTTGATGAAATATTGTAATTTTTATTTATTTATTTCAGACCTAGAGGGATCCATAAGACAGTATAAAGCAGACACCCATTGCAATAGATACAAAAAACTAAAAATAAATAAAAAGAATAGCAATACAACGTATAAAAACCTTCAACAGTTCATTGTCTAACATACAGACATGTTCTCCAGTGGTTCCACAACCTGGACGCAAATCTTACAGAACTTTGTCCTGGGTTAGCCAACACAATGATTATGTAATTTTCTGACTCCGATACTCTACCCATAAATCTGTACATCAAGTTGCGCAATACTGCAGTACAGGTAGGTACCCCAACACTAACAAACATCTGGCTTGCACTAGAGTCTCTTGGGACTTTTAGCAGCAGCCTCATGCAGTCATTATATGGGCAGTATACAATGGTGTACAGTACGTCCTAAAGAGTGAGATCTTCACAGGGACAGAGCACATACTGAACTTACGACTCAGCATGTTTGCTTGTGCATACAGTTTACGACGCTGCCTATAAATGTCCTTATCATCGGACAGGTCATTTGTAATAATATGGCCCAAATATGTAGTATCTGTGCATACCTCAAGTACAGTACCAGACAGATTGAAGTCTGGAAAGTCAGACTGTCTATCCTCTCTACTCCTTATGGTCATGAAAGAAGATAAAAGAAAAAAGATGAAAAAAAGAAACGCAGAGTTAAGGTTGAGTCCTTCATGCTTCACACAAATATATTCGGTTTCTCTATTTAATCTTTGGCGATCTTGGGCGAGCAGATACTGCCACCGCTGATGTGAACTATTTGAGGCACACTGATAATTTGTACTGTCATTCTTTGTTCAAATGCATATTTATTTTCCATATTCCTTCTGCAAAGCTACACGCCCAACTGCAGGGATTTGTGATTTGAAAAGCATGAGCATTGATTACCGAACCTTGTGAAAAAATGGATTTAGTACTCTCTCAGCGCAAAGCAATGCGATGCATTGGTCTGTTTTTATCACTCATTCAGGAGGAATCCAGCGTGATAGCTCACAATCAACTCATTCGGATGGAAATCATCAAACGCATTGTTCCCAAACAGATGGCTGGTGTCGATTTATTGTCAACAGAAAGACACACGCTGACTGACAATGTCCTGTTATTTTGGTGGCGGTAAATAATTCTGCTACTTAAAAAAGGGACTTTTCCTCCTATTTCATGTCCGATTCATAACTGTACAATTCTGTCTCTGTATCGTTGCAAAACCATTTCTTTCTCCACTTACGTCCTTTCACTTGTTCCCAGGATTGTCCCTTGACTTACTGCACTTCTTTCTTTGTTCCTCCTGTCACAAAGACAGACGCGCACAGAGAAAAACAAACTGGACTACTAGACAAACGATTAGGACAAGTAGGCCGACCAAGACGGATAGAAAACCAGACAGGTGGACACAAATATCCCAAAAGACGCCGCTAATGGCGCGTTTCCACCAAGCGGTACGGTACGGTACAGGTTGGGTCGGTACCCTTTTATTTGTGTCTCCACTGCCAAAAGTTGAGGATGGTACCAAAAATCCGAACCGTACCGTACCACTTTTTGGGTACCCTTCCGTTGGGGTACCTGGCACAGTTGTTTGGTACTAAAGGGTGGATCTAGACTCACTGCAGAACGTTGATTGGTTGAAAGAGTGTCGTCATTTGCGCGTGCCGCAAGGGGAAAGACAACACACGACTGTGTTGTATTTTTCCGCTGTATTTTTCCTTGCAGCATGAAGCCTTTGCTCAAACAAAGATTGTCGTCTCCTTGTGACAAACAACCAAATATCGAGAAGCAAGAACAGGATCGGCTATATGTTTGCGGTTAGCTTTCAGTTTTCGCGCGATCGAATGACGTCAATCTACTTTCCGTCATATACCACGCCTATCAAGTGACGTTATCACTACTTTCTGGAATACACCACGCCTATCAAGTAAGAGTACTGTTGGCGGTGGAAACGCTCGCCAAATCATGGTTAACCGACCCGACCCGTACTGTACCATAGCGCTCGGTGGAAACGCGCCATTTGTGGACCGTTTAGTTCAGATATGGATTTCATCACTTTCCTCAGGGGCGAGACGGAGCAGCGTTAGAAACAGGACAGAACAAAAAGTCCATCCACAACCACAATTACACAACTTTTCAATGGCTCTTGTGTGCGTCCGTCTCCCTTTGTGTCTGCGATCTTCTAGTCGTAGTCCTCAGAGGGGGAAGTGGGAGGAAGCCGTAATTGGCCACTGAGGGGATGCTTTGGTCTAGTATTGTGTTGCTGTGCATAACACACACCCTGATTTGTAGTTTCCAGTCAGAACCGATACAAGCTGGCCGGGCCTTATTCACTGGAGATGCACGATCAGAGCAAACAGAGACTCACTCACAGCCCAAAGACAAAGCCTGAGAGGGAAAAAATGAGCCACAACATATGGACGAAAACAACTTCTATTGATTCAAACCGGCAAGCAATATTTTTCAGTGTGAAAGCTCTGCCACACTGAATTCTTTCTTTGTGCGCGTGTGATATGTATTGTGGCGTGCATCTCATTCTTATGGTGGAATTTGTTCATTTATGATATAATAGTATGTGATTTATCTCAGTCTCAACACCGCCTCTGTGCATGATGATGGGCTGAAAATATGAGAAGTAGGGAGAAGAACAGCAAAGCGCTGAGTTGGCATCTGTGTAGTTTCTTTTTGTGTTATTTAAATATGCAAATAAGGCCTCTTTTTTTTTACGGCTCCCTGATGATTTCTATCCCTTTGTTTTGGATCTTGTCCTGTCCATCAGTTCTGCACAGAGCAGAAAATTCACTTACACCATTCACCGGTCCCCACACACACATACACACACACAACGCCACACAACCACTGCTTAATTCAATACAGGTTTGTGCATCTTCCCGTCTCTGCTGAGTGTGCACTCGTCACAATGTGGCCTAACCGAGCAACTCGATGAAATGGAGCTAAATTTGGTGCCAATGAAAGTGGCGAGGAACCCGAAACGTATTAGTGTGAGAACGTGTGAAGACTGGCCTCCGTCCGCTCTCCGTCACACTGAAGGGTGCAGATCTCTGAAGCTGGATGCTCAGCACCTTGGTGCTGGATTCTGCCTCCACTGTAAAGATAAATATTAAACGTTCCGTATTACTGGAACATGAGGAAGATACAGTCTTCTGCAGCGTAGCCCGCTCTGCACGGGCCGTGCAGACTCTGACTGCACCCTTTCTGTGCTAAAAAGGCTCATTGGAACTATTTTAGGCCATTCGGGTTGTTCTCATAGGAGAACCCTTGTTTGTTTCTCGTAGAACTTTGGTTCCACCCAGAACCCCTTAAAAAGACCCTTTATATTTCAATTATTCAATCAAAAACCCAACCAGGGCGCAGACCAAGATCAAGTAAATGACCGTCACCCCCATTTCTATCCTTCAAAACCAGCTTAGAATGCCGCTTCCCAGTTCAGCTTCAACCGTAAACACTTTAACGGACCAATATGCTCGGATACCCATCGGACAAACTG